GGGCTGCTCGGGAGCCGGGCGGCTGGAACACGAAAACAGCGTGACTGGTAAGGCTCGCGGGGTGCTGCAAACGGAATTGCTTTTTTCCGGTTATGTCATCTTTCTGGATCAAAGTGATATTTTTATTCCATTTTTTTTTTTGTTTAGTTTTCATGATAGTTACGTACTTTTTTCTTTTTCCAGGTATTAAGTTATGTTTATGACATCATGCTCTATTTTATAAACATTGTCCCAGCCCGCACTTACATAAAGAACTGAAGCAGCTGGAAGTGGTCCAAGTATAGTTGTTATTCTAATCCCACATGCTTGTGTATCATGAGGAGTGGACAGCAGAATAGTGTGTATTAGGGCTTCAAGAAAATAAGAAACTCAAGGAAGAGTAGTTTATTGCTGCTGCTTACCAACTGTGAATAAGTAGCCAGTGCGTACTTTGGGGAGAGGCTTTGTAATGTTTGGACAAAAAGTGTTTAAGTTTGAAAATCACTTTACTGTTTTTAAACAAAGATTAATTTTACCTGTTTGTGTAAGGGACATTGATCCTTTTCTTATGATTTTCTTCCATGAACAAGAAAACCCCACCTTTACTTACAAGGAAGAGACTGAAATTAGTCAGCATTTATAAATTGGTTGATCAGCAGTTCTGAACAGGAAGAATGTCAGTTGTGAAGACAGGGAGCTGGACCACCAGCAGCACCCTTCCCCTGTTCTCCAGCCACAGTGTTAAACACTTGTGTTCCCATCCAAAAGCTGATCTTCCTGAGCTGTAGCCCACATATCTGAAGATGAGAGCTTCCTGTCAGCTCAGCGTTTTGTGATGACTGTGGAGCCTAGCAGGGGCTGCGATAAATAATTTGTAATACTGATGGCCATTGGAAATTGAAATGACTCTGAAGGCATGGGTTTGTGGCTTTCTTGGCTGTGGTGCTGGCATGAGCCTGTCTCTGCACCATTCTCTCCATTGTTCTTGCATGAGCCTGAGGCTGTGTGTTGAGCTAGATCTGGGGCCTAATTTAGCCAAAAATAAACAAGTTGATTTTGTCATGCCATTTCCAAGCAAGATTGGTTTCCCAGATCCAGTTTACCATGCAGTGACAAGCAGTTGTGCTGAGCCAGTAAAAGTGGAAGATAGGGCAACACTCACAACGGTTTAAAGCTGCCGTTGAATGTTCTGCTGTAGTTGAAGTTTGACTTCAGGAAACAAATATCAACTATGCTTATTTTCAAACTTATTTAGATAATAAAATTTTTGTTTATTGCCCTTTTAGGTGGCTCACACTTCTCCTACCTAAGCTTAAAGTTAGACTTGCATAGTGACTGAGGTCATAGGTGCTTAATGTTGCAGAAATCCTACGTGCTTTTCAATTGAACAATTTAATTGTATGTGTGGTTAGGGATTGGATTACCTCTTGATCATCGGGAAGCCTTTCTGTTGCTGACCTTCTGGTTTGTAGAGACCTAGGTTTCTAGAGATGTCATCTGTGATGCTTCCCTAGTGTGAAAATGTGTCTCAGGAAATGCAAAACACTACTGAATGTGTCTTTTTTTTAATGTAGGCTCCTACTAAAATCAGTGATGTTTCTAGTACTTCCATGCTCTCAAACGTAACATACATTTTAAGTCTTGTTAAGAGGCTGGAAAAAATGTTTGAAACTCTTTAGGAATATTGAAACTTGAGTTTAGAGTACTGTAAAGAGTCCTATGGAAGTTGCTTAGAAAAGCAAGCTTATTCTAAGTAAATATAGACCTGTTGCAAGTGGTTTACTTCTCCACTGCAGGGAAAACTTAAGCCTCTGCAACACACTGACAAGTTAAAAATATGTTTTTCTTGTGCTATCCAGATTATTTTTCTTTTAAGACTATTCCAGATTAATTTGTGAGAATATGCAGAAGTGTGTCCTATTAGAGTGTGCTCATATTGTAGCCTTTGAGGATTAAATGTGATCAGATAACACTGTGCAAAAGTCCACAAAGTCAACAACAAAACCAATAGTAATGCTTTAGTAAACAGTAGTTTACCAAAGGTGACTTTAAAATGTAGCCACACAAAGCCTGGAACTTCTAGGTGCATATAAATCATGTGGAAGTAACTTACACATGAGCGTCTGATCCCTCATCATTCAGACTGGAAATGGGCATAATGGTTCTTTTTTTTTTTTTTTGCTTCATGACAGTTATCGTTACACTTGTGCAAATGCAATTCTTGTGACTTTAACTCAGCATTTTAAGATACATGGGTGAAACCAGTTACGTATAATTTGAAAAATGCTTGTTTAAACAGCTAATCATCAATAGGTAGGACTCAATACTTTCTTTAAATGAAACAGTATTGTCTCAAGCGATTACAAAGATAGCGGTGTAGGGCCTTGAAATTCTCAGAAGTTCAAAACAGCTCCTGAAATTCATGGTAGGCTGAAAGGTATTTCTTTGGTATTATTGACAGGCAGTTAGCATGTAAATTAAGTGCAGGCCATGTTCAACTTCAGACTTATTACTAGGTATTTCTGCTGTAATATAGTCAGTGACCTGCTATGGTTGAAATCAGTATAGTATTCAGCTGTAGTATTGTGAACACACTTGCTTGCTCATTGCATTTTTCTGAAATGATGCAGGATAAATGTATCTTGCATGCTGTTTAATAATTGAGAATGTCTGTCATAAACTTTCGAATTGTAAACTATGTTTCTGACTGAATACAAAGCTTCCTCTGAGAGGAGGAAGATGTTGGACAACTTCTAAGTTTTGAGATAAACATTTTTCTGAAAGCAATTTAAAAAAAAATACATTTCACACAGCGAATGAAATGTCAAGCTTATTTCAAGGTAATGCATAAAAATAGCATATGAGATTGAGTTGTGTTTCATTTACTGATACTGCCTGCAGGTGTGGAGGGATATGGAAAATTTTGATGAGAACGTGACCCTTTTGGCAGCTTTGTAAAGGTCAGTGTGAATTTTGAGGGGATAGAGGGGAGAATCAAATGAGGGATGTTGATAGAGAGCCTGCATTGTGAAAGAGAAACGCAGATTTTAAAAGTGAATTAATGTGACTTCTTCCTCAAACAAATTTGTCTTTCACTTTTGAAATATTCTAAAGCCAAGGTTAAACATAAGTTTGGGGACTATTTTTAACCTAGAAACTTAAAGCAGTCACTCATTTCTTAGCCCTAAAACCTATTCCTCTTTAAAATGTTCACGTTATGGAGGTATTAAGTGTGTGATCTACAGGTTTAAGTGTGCTATGTAATGCAAGTGTTCTGTTAGCTCCCTG